TTAAATTTTTCCATATTAAAAAGTTTAAAAATTATAATAAAATACAGTTCATTGTAATACATATTTTAAACACTTACCATGTAATCCCTTTCCTTCTTTTCTCTCCAGTTCTCCCTATTTAAACTAAATGTCTTTTCTTTTTTGATGTCATCTGTTAAGAAAGGGAGCATTCACAAGTACTCTTGTCAATGTTAAATGTCTTTGATTTCCTCGCAACCTTTTTACATGACCATGGTAGCCATGATCTGAGCAAAAATATTCTAAAGCCAAAAAGATTAACGCATGTTTGTCCATGCCGGTCAACAGAAGCAACCATTGGAATTTATTTCATATTTCTAGTAACTATTGAGGTAAAAATTAATGGCACAGTGTCAGAAAGAGTGAATAAAATGAACAGATGACTTAAAACTCAAGCGGTGGAGGAGAGGAAGGAAAGGAAAAGGACTGAGCGATGATCACCTTAACATTTTGGGTATTTTTGGCTGCAGATTACTTCAGATTTCCAAGCAAACCAGCAAATTACCTATCAAATTTCTGGAGTAGGAATTGATCGGCCCCCTTTTAGAATCTTTGTTGTTGACAGAATCACTGGAGAAATTAACATAACAGCCATAGTTGATCGTGAGAAAACCCCAAGCTTCCAGGTAAGTTTGTGTCTTCACCATTGGGCATCATTTTCCCGGTGTGCACCATGGCTTTAGAAAGGGATACTCCTGTATTGGTTAATTTAGAGATCAGTGTATAAATCAATCCACCAACAAGTAACAACAATAGTCCCTCTACAAAGAGCCTCCACTTCGGGTTGTGCCACTGAGGGAATACACTAGGAGGTGCATGGAGCACTGACTCCAGCAGGAATCTTGCCAAACTTCAGCCTGAAGAAGCCAGAATCAGCCTGGAGGAAGGGGTGGTTTACCCTGCGGGCCTGCCCACAGTGGGTACTTCTTCCTACTTTGTCTACTGTTTGGAGAAATATTTTTCTTCACTGCATAAAAGTGCTATACATGCCAGTACAGGCCTGATAACTACACGTTTTAATAGTATGCAGATTAAGTTTGTAGAGTGATAATTAACATTTTCCCTTTTTTCTAGATCACATGCCGTGCTCTAAATGCCCAAGGACAAGATGTAGAGAAACCACTTATACTAACAGTCAAAATTTTAGATATTAATGACAACGCTCCAGTATTTTCACAAAGTTTATTCATGGGTGAGATTGAAGAAAACAGCCCTGCAAGTAAGTACCTTTTTTACAGTATCTACCACTTCTAATTTTTTAAATTGTCAAATACAAGTATCACTATAATACATCATTTTTGTAAGCTAATTTATTCTCTTATTCATTGGTTTTCCAGAAAACCTCATCAAGATAACCTGAATCTTCTTTCTAATATTTGTAGTTGAACTCATTAGTCACTGTCACTGTATTTCTAGGCTATGGCCCTGTTATCAGGTCAATAGTATCTTATTCTATTCCTACGAATTTCATGACTAACCAGAAGCTCCAAAGCTAAAGAGGTGGTGGCCTTAGGTAGCCTGGATGCATCAGCAAAGCTTTTTTAGATTATAAGGGACAGAGGCACACTCACATTAATTACTTGGATAATTTGGTAAAAAGGGAGAACCATAAGGCCACCCATGAAGGGAAGAAATAAAGACAGAAAATACTATCAACCCCCACATAGCCAAGGCTTAAGGAGAACTAAATGATTTTTTATGGAAGGCAGTACAGTTCTACCTGATTGAGAGAGACAATAAGAGATATTGCAAGCGACATGGAATATTTTTGGAGCATGCAGATAATTTTAAGATCTTAAAAAACAAAGATCAATTTGAAACTGTGTTGACTATTTAATATAAATGTAATCTCGTTAAGAGCGCGCTCAAGAGTGTGAGCTCTGAGCAACAGCAGTTCGATGCCCAGCCCAAACTGAGCTGCCGCTAAGCTGCCAACAGGTGGCAGGATGGCTCAGCTAAATAAATAAATAAATAAATAAATAAATAAATAAATAAATAAATAAATAAATAAATAAATAAATAAATGTAATCTCAATTTTTACATATTCTTTTTTTATTTTTATTTTTTTTTATTTTTAAATATTTTATTGGGGAAGTGGGGGAGGAGAACAGACAAGTTGCTGTCCTTTTGTTCTTCAGTCTAGTTGTGGAGGACGCCGCTTCACTGGCCCATGTTGGTATTATCATTGAGCTCTTCCTGGGTCACTGGACAGCTGCTCCCAGTGGCTCTTGATAGCTCACGAAAGCTCACACCAGCTGCTGGTCACTCATGCTGGCTGCCAGCCACTCATGGTAGCTTACAGCAGCCCACTGCAGCCCCACTGCAGCCTACGCCGTCGCCGGCGACTCACGGCAGTCCAGCTCCAGGTGGAGCTGTTGTTCACCATCTTACCTGTAGAGGGCTCAGCGTCACTGGCCCTCCTGTGGGATCTGAACCAGGGCCCTGCTGCTCAGAGCTGGCGTCCCAAGCCAACTCTTAACCAACGCACCACCTCGGCCGGCCCTATATATTCTTTAATGCACTTCTGTATTCCTAGACTCACTGGTGATGATACTCAATGCTACCGATGCAGATGAACCAAACAATCTGAACTCTAAAATCGCGTTCAAAATCATCTCTCAGGAACCTGCAGGCATTCCCATGTTCCTCCTTAGCAGACACACTGGGGAAGTCCGGACTTTGACCAGCTCTCTTGACCGAGAGGTAAAACAAGGCACTTGGGAGCATTGAATAGCAACAGGTTTGACTTAAGAAAGCAAGAGAGGTAACTCCATTTTACCGAGAATGAAAGGAGAAAGGAAAAGAGGTTCCCAGTATTCAGTTGGGCAATCGAGGGAAAGGGTTTGCGTTCTAGTGTGATTCTGGTGGGGTGGGATGTGTGCCTGGGACCTGCACAATCAACTGTTGCCTCAATAAACAAGTATCAGTATATCAGGGAGAGTTCACATGACAGAGTAAAAGAAGGCATTGGCATACGTGGACAAAGACCTAACTGTGACTAACCCCTCATACAATGGAGGAAAAGGAAATCCCTGTCCTTAGATGAAGGGAGAAATTTCTCCCTGAAGTTAAGCTTTCTCTGATGTCACACTTTCTCTCCTGACTTCTTTTCACCTGACCCCTGTTTCCAGAACACAAAAGCATCTCCTCCCTCTGTCCTCCTCACAGTCCTGCCACCATGTCACCATCACCGCACACCACCCAGTCATACTCCATATTACTTTTACACCAATGATTTTCTGAATAGACCGACAGGAAAAATTTGTAAGTGAGCTTCCCTCAAATGAGCACCCCATCATCAACATGGCCCATTTTTGCTCTAAGTGTACGTTCATGCCCCAAAAAGCTCACAAGAGAGAAAATCTGTTCTAGCTCTGTGAAGACCGCCACCCAATCATCCAGAGCCCCACACACCTCCTTGAGGATGGACTGCGAACAGTGCACATGATCCAAGAAACCATGAACTTGAATATTTGCACCTCCTTACCCATAGGCAGCAAGTAGTTGCCATTCATATTATTGGCACTAGAGAGTAACTATTTTTCTTTCTTTATTTACTCCCAATTTAGCAAGTTAGCAGCTACCGTCTGATTGTGAGTGGCGCAGACAAAGATGGAGAAGGACTATCAACTCAATGTGAAAGCAGTATTAAAGTGAAAGATGTCAATGATAACTTCCCAATGTTCAAAAAATCCCAGGTATACCTTTCACTCCTTAAAGAATAATTTTTATATGTGTTTTATTATATACTTTGCCATCCTAATTCAGTATTTGCCTGCGTGGTGGCTTCTATTGAAGTTCTCTGCACTTTCCTTTAAAAACTAAGCCCTTGTAAATATAAGAATTCAGTAACTGGCAAGGAGGCAACACATAATTTGAGCATTAATGATTCATACCATCCAGAATAAATACAATCCCTTTAGATAAAATCTGACATGGAGTCTAAAATTCCACTTCTCTCCTTTTTAGTATTCAGGACATATTAAGGAAAATACTTTAAGTTCTGAGTTGCTTCGATTTCAAGTAACAGATTTGGATGAAGAGTTCACAGATAATTGGCTTGCAGAGTATTTTTTCACCTCTGGAAATGAAGGGAATTGGTTTGAAATCCAAACTGATCCCAGAACTAACGAAGGCATCCTGAAGGTGGTTAAGGTAAGGTCTGCTGTCCCTCGAGTGGCAAAAAAAATTCCCTACTGGCCAAAACTACCATTTCTACAAATAAACTTTATGTACATAATAATACTACAACTTCTTTATGAAAAGAAAAAAACTTATAAAACACAAAAAAGTAGATAGAATTTTAAAAACACACACACAGAGAGCCCCATTACCTAGGGACAGCCTTTTTTAACATGTTGATTTATTTCCTTCCAAGCTTTGGGAATTATACACAAACACAACTAATACATATATTTACAGATGTGCCTGCTTTAAGCACAAGAAAATAAAATACATTTATTGACTTAATCTCATTCACTCTCTACGACTGAAGTTAGGAAGAGAGACAAATACATGGAATTGTGGCTTATGAATTTGTCAATGTGTTTTAAATGATTAGCTACAGTCATCAAAGGGGGAAAAGGGAACATTTTCTAGAAAATGGGAATGTGTAACTAAATCTGCAAGACGAAAAATAAGTAATTGAGTGAAGCTTCCATTTAACATGCTTGGCTACAGGAGGCAGCCCCTCACATGACACACACACACACACACACACACACCATCACCACCACCACCACCAGCAGCAGCAACAACAACAATTAGAATAACATCAAGATATTTCTGCCTGAATAGTGTAGAGACTAGAAAAAAATAACCACTATTTGGGGACATTCCTTGGCACAGGACATTGGACTATGTGGGAGCTTCTTGCTTTAGTTCCTTGAGCCCAGTAGAGACTCATAATATTCCCTTAACAAGGTGATTGCAGGACACCCAGACTGCTGGAAGTCATGAAGGAAGTTCTTCTTGCTCTGCTTTTCAGCGAGTGGGCTACAGGACCCTCGGTTGCAAGGGTTTTGTTATAAACGTCCCGTAGTGCCTGAGAATGAGATATCCCCCATCTCCTGCATTGGTGTCATCCCATCTCCCAAACTAGAAACTTGGCCTCATCCTTTGATCATGGCATTTCCTCACAACATACAGCCAGTGATCAAATTCTGCCCTGGTCTTCTTTTTATGCTCTGTCCTCTAGCGTGGTCTGGCCTCCTTCCCACTACACGATGGTGATCCCTCCTGATCGATGTCCCTACCTCATTTCTATGTCCCTTTGTTCTGCTACTGCCACCCGTCCACTACCATGTTTTTCTTAAAGCCAATTTGGACCAGTTATTCCCCCCCTTTAAACCTTCCCTTGTTCTCCACTGGCTGTAAAAATAACTCTCCACCCGGACTGCCCATCGGAATCACCTACAACCCTACCTAGCCAGTGGGACTGTGAGAATTACTGGTTGAGTTGGTCTGTGGGAAGCCCCGCAGAGGTTCTTAAAGGCCACTCAGGAGACTAATAGGCAGCCAGGGTTGATGACCACCTGCTGGCCTTGAAGATGAGGGTCATCCTCCCAGAATTGTATACCAGGCCTCTCGTCATCTGCAGCCAGCCCACTCCCTGTCACCTTCGGTAACTCTGGACATTGGCAAGTTCACCTCTGCCTACATAACTCTTTCTCATTCTTGAATAGTCAGCTGACATGAAAACCTCTCAGAAGCCTTACCTAACTCTCCCAAGACGTATTCATTTGCTTCCACACATAGACTCTCTAATTTCTGTCATCACTTACCCCTTGTATTATAATTACCTGTTCACACATCTTTTCCTTCTTCTCCACTAGGAAATGTTTGCACCCACAGAACCAATCATTGCAAAGTTAAAACTCAAATCCAGATCTCCGGCTTTAATTATTTTTCAGTAATATACAAATGTAACCCAAATGAGCACTTCCGCATCTCATTGCACTCAAAAAATTTACTAGTGAATAGAAAAAGCCATCCTGGGATTCCTCAAGGCCTTGGTTTGAGCCACCTTGATAAAAGGGTCAAACGAATAGTCACCATGCAAGACCATCTGAAAATGGCTCTGCAAAGAAGTTGATGGGCCACTCACACACTGTGCCGAGGCTCCTTTGCTAAGCAAGGTTATTAAGACAGACTGCCTCTGCAACCTAGGAATTTTTAAACTCAGAAAAGACATTATTGCACATGAGTCCAAAGATTATTCTGAAAATGGGCAGAGCAGCCATTTATAGGACTGTATTATGGACTTTAACTTGTTAACTCCTCACAACAATCTGAGGAGGTAAGGGTGTTTGTTTTTTCAGAAGTGGAAAGTTAAAGATCAAAGATATTAAATATTGTGCCAAGTCACACAGATATAAAGCAGCAGGCCCAGGATTCAAACTATGCTACCATAGCAAAGGTGGGATTCTTTCCACTGCACCACACAACCCACAGAAACTGTAATGATATTCTGGTAGTCTAAAAAGAGGTACCCTGCTTTGTAAGTATCAGTTACCAAAAAAATTGAGGTCTCATGAATTAAGAATTCTAAAGTTTTCTCTATCTCAACATTACAATGATTTCTGAAACTACTTTGCTACTTGTTTCTATTTATAGAAATAAAAGGATCTATTCATAGCACGTGACATAGAGTTCTCTTGTCCTCTACTGGGTTTGCTGAATTATATTTTTGTGACACTTTTCTTCTAATTTCATTTTTACTCTAGCCTCTGGATTATGAACAACTACAAAATGCGCAATTTGGTATTGCCGTCAAAAACAAAGCTCAGTTTCACCAGTCAGTAATCTCTCAATATCGAGTCCAGTCAACCCAAGTCACAATTCAAGTTATAAATGTGAAAGAAGGAATTACATTCCGTCCTACTTCTAAGACATTTACTGTCCAGAAAGGCATAAGTAGTAAAATGCTGGTGAATTACATCCTGGGAACATATCAAGCCATGGATGAAGACACTGGCAAAGCTGCTTCGAATGTCAGGTAAGATTATTTTAATAACATCTTATTGTTCCTTGATTTAGTTTTAATCTATAAGTTATTGCAAAGTAACACCTAAATATTATATGTCAAGAATACAAAGAGATACAAAGGTGGCCAACTCAAGGAGCTAGATAACTCAAGAAGGGACATGTAGCTAAATCACTAAAAGGTATTGTACTATCAGCAAAGATAACATAAACTTAAGTTAATGTGGAACCTACAAGAAAAATGCTTTAGCCTGTCTAGAGAGAGCAGAAAAAAGTTTCATGGAAAATTTCAACTGAGTCTTAAAGAGTAGTTCATCAGAAAACCATGGTGCAATGAGATAGAATAGTACATACAAAGACATACATGCGTAAAATCTAAAAACATTAGGCAAAGTAGTTGCTGTAGTATAAGAGAAAGGACACAGTAATTTTATTGCACAGAGCACAAAATTGAAAAACCAGGCTAATACATATTAAGGTTTATAAAATAGTGCTTGTCCATGCTAATATGTTAATTTCCTGCCACTCTTTATAAAAGCATATTTCAATGTCTTATATTAATTATATTAAATATAAAATGAGTCATTTTCATTAAATAGGTAACCATTCCATATTTGAAAGAAAACTATTACTTTTTTCTATCATAAAACAGATATATCATGGGACGTAATGATGGTGGCTTGCTAACTATTGATTCAAAAACTGCTGAAATCAAATTTGTCAAAAGAATGGATCGGGATTCTACCTTTATAGTGAACAAGACCATCACAGCTGAGGTCCTGGCCATAGATGGTAAGAGAAATATTTCAACCATTTTTAGAGCAATGTTACTCCACTTGGCATTTCTTTATGAATAGATTATTATGATTACTTAACAAATGACCTTTACCAATAGATAAAAGTAATTATCTCAGGGGCTTTGGGTCTCAAGTCTGAGGCAGCTGAATCTAGGAGAAAACTGATGATTCCAACGTCTAAATGAAATTTATAGTAACAGTGAATAACTGTGTTCTGTCCCTGTGGTTTTCTGTGGTTAGGACAGAAATTTTTATGCCCACTGGAATTTCTGGGTTTGACAAGGATAGATAAAGATTGATACTAAAAGTCTATCAGGGAAGCACAACTCAAATGTGAGTTGCCTTTGTGAGTTACTTGCAGAATGAGTTGTTCATAGAGACCTAATATGCTTATATCATTGATCAATAAAATATTCTGGGATGTTTTAAAAATAATATTCATTGAGTGTGTGTGTTTCCTCAAGTATAAATTAATTTATGCTCAAGGCAATAAGCAAAGATAAAAATAAAAGAATAAACACCAAAAAGCAAATCACCTGGAAAAACAGCAAAAAGCACAAAGGGAAAAAACAAAAACGATTCAATCCCACCACTGGAAGATTTTTATTTTATTATTTTTATTGTTACCATATTTAAATTTTTCTTCAATAAACCTTTATATCTCGGGTAAAAAAATAAATCATTGCTTATTCCAAATACTTTGGCTCAAGCTTTAGAAGCAAAAATCTTTCACACAGTGCTGAGCTCATGCAGAATACATTTAAGAAAACTACTATGTATTTTTATGTTGATTTCATTTGTAGTCAGTGAATCTACCACCTTACAGGTCTTGGGTCCAAGCATATTAAATTAATAGCCAATGCTACAAACTAGAGACACCAAGTTAATAAATGTAAATTTGCTTTTTATAAGATGTGGCAATCGGGGGACATGTGTACTTGTAAGAATAGCAAATGTAACCTCTCTCACAAGAAGACACACTAACATGTCTGCATGCAAGAGAAATTTAAAAGGTTAATGTTTTTTGGACAACTTGTTCTGTATACTTCTTTAACTCTAAAATGTTATTCTTACAGAAAACACAGGTCAAACAGCTACAGGCACCATATATGTTGAAGTACCTGGTTTTAATGAAAATTGCCCAACAATTGTCCTCGAAAAGAAACCAATTTGCAGCTCATTGCCTTCCGTGACTGTCTCAGCCAGAGCACAGGGCAGTGATAAGTATACTGGCCTCTACACATTTTCACTGGAAGAGGAGCCTCTAAAATTGCCCGTCGTGTGGAAGATCACAACACTCAATGGTGAGTAGGAACCAAGTTGCGTCCATAAGTGAAAGTCGCTGCTGCTTCTTTACATTTCCAGAAGGATAAGAGAGAGCTCATTTGGGAGCAAGTCTTTTCCAAGAGCAAATGAAAAATTCCTTTCCAACAAAGAGGCAGTCCTAGCCTTATGAATGTCTTCTCTCTCCAGAAGAAGAAAGGAATGATATGATATAATGTTAGCACCATTTACTATTTTCTGTTTTTCATGTGAACTCTATTTTGTATTTTTATATTTTTAGTATGTTATTTCTATCTCCAGAGCATACCAAAATAAGATGAAAGTCAGGCATCTGTTTTACTGCAGAGCTGTTTAGATTTCTACATACATAAACTTTTCTTACCTGGGCAAACTGGGAACAGCCACGAAGCACTGGAGAGGTTGTCCTGCTCACAGGAAATGCTATAATACTTAGTCTGTCACTAGTCAGGAATCTTGAAGGCATGGGGAACAGGAATTTGTAAACCCCTTAGCCAATGGGAAGGAGCTAATCCGTCCCCACAGGCAAGCCCATAACCAGCCTAGCCTCATGGGATCAGGAGCAGCTGAGGTAACAGCAGCCCAAGCAGAAACTCAGTCTCGATAAGTCAGGCACAAAAGCATGGAGTTCAGCTGAAGGGATACATTCAGAGGGCCACACAAGAGTCCAGGGGTTGGTGCAGCCATACAGCAGAGTGGTGAAGCCTAGAACAGGGACGCCTGGGATTTAAACGGCCTTCCAACCCTCCTCTTTGTGGGGAAATTCAGGGTGGGACTGAGTCTTCATGGGGGAGATTAATGGGCCCAGCTGGAGCAGATAAAAGGGCAAGTAGGAAATACAGCTCGATTTACCCAAATGAATCCGTTATAGGCCTCATCACTGCTCAAATCTCACCCTACTACTGGCCTCACTATTTGTGTCTATGGCAACTCTGCTTCTATAACAAAAATAAGTCGTTTCCAGAACAAAAGACAGCTATCCCACTGTTGATTTGTATGTTTCTCTCCAGCTACCTCCGCACTCCTTACAGCCGAGCAGCAGGTACCTCCTGGGATGTACACAGTCTCCCTTAGAGTTACGGACAGCCAGGACAGGTGGTGCGAGTCACCAGACAGGTTGACTCTGGAGGTCTGTCAGTGTGACTACAGGGACACCTGTAGAGCCACACACCCTGAGCCCAGGTATGGAGAGGAGTCACAAATGAAGCTGGGGCCTGATGCCATCGGCCTGATATTCCTTGGTCTCTTACTACTGCTGTGTGAGTATGCCAGAGTTTTATTCTGCTTTTCACAGGGGGTCAGCATTTGCAAAGGGCCTCACGAGGCACGGGCAACGCATCTGCAATGCAGAACCCTTCCCTGCAATGCAGAAGAATTGTTTCCTAGGCACAGCTGGGGAGAAATGGCCTTCAAGTTCACATATCACTTGCCAACAATCTATATTCACAACACAGCAAAGCAGATCATATACGTTAGTCAGAACATATAGTCATAAATGTTAGACATAAGCGTAAAACAAACAAGTCATAAATGTTAGACATTTAAATATTAGACACTTAGGAAACAGCAGAAGAGAATCGAAAGGGAAAAAAATAAAGCATGAACACTCTCTATACACTTCCAGTAATATTCATGGTCAAAATAATGGCTTTATCCGTGAGTGTGACACTTTCTAAAATGTCTTCTCCATACTCAATTCTCAGTCTAAAATAAAAAGAGAATCTCAGCCAAATGGATTTAGGGAAAATCTATAGGATATCATAGGCTTTGCACTTTACAACACACATTAATATATCATAGGCACTGTGACATTAGTACTTAATCCAGTGCTTCATCAAAATAGCTTACGATCTGAATAAATAGCTTCCCCCTTTAAAGCTTTCATATTTAATATGATTCAGTCTATTGAACACATTTAGAGAAACTACACACATGTATTATTTTTCAATTAGAGTAAAATTTATTTTATTCAATAGATTTCTAAAAAGTTGCATTTAAATAAAATCTTGTGAATCAAATAGTATTTTGAATGTAACAGGCCTCTATTTCATCCAAGAACTTTGTGGCAAATTTCTGTATAAATAAGAGAAAGCCTTGATAAATTCACAATCACTTCCCTAATTTATTATAAAACCATAGACTTTTAAAGTTAAAATGATTTTTCATAGTGATCAAATCCACTCTAACCCATTCATTTAAATTTTAATTTATAAAATATTTTTAAGCCACAAAGAAGTACAGAAAATTACATAAAAGGCACAAATATAACCATATGTCAGAGTTAACAGATATTAATATTTGCCATATTTTCTCAGATCTCTTTTAAAAAAAAATCGCCTTACATACATCTAGCAGCCTCCTACACATGCCATATATTCTCTTTCCTCTTTCCCCAAAGTGTTTACTGTTCTAAAGTTATCATGTATCATTTTGCTTAATAGCTGACATTGACATCCAGAGTTTCAGTTTTTCAATATCATATTAGTCAATTTCACGAAACAAAGATTTTTCAAGTACCTATATGTGAGTCTTGACGCTAGCTTCAAGCTGAAACAGGAACTTGATTCTGGTTTTCATGCAGTTCACAGATTTATGCATGTCTAACCATACAGAAAAAAAATATGCCATGAGAAAGCTCTAATAGAAATGAATACAAAGAAATATTGCAGAAGGTTCTCAGACGAGGGAGATCATCCATCTGAGCCCTGGAAAATGAGTAAGATATAGTAAGTACAAAAAGAAGGAAAGGTGTTTCCAAAGAGTCACAGCGTGCGCCAAAGCCAGAAAACACTTAGCATGTTTTAGAGATCACACAGCCTTAAGAGGCTAATGCATGGGGAAATTGTTCGGAATGGACAAGAGGAAAGTGGAGAATACTTTGGGACTAATTTGAAAGGGCTTACATACACATGCTTATGGTGTTGGTACTTTAAGCTCTGAGAAAGGAAAGTTGCTGAAAGCATTTGAATAAAAGACTAGCACAATCATATTTGTATTTTAGAGAGAGAACACTAAATAGAGAGATAGCAGTGTATACTGTAAATTAGAAAGGAAAGAGCAGTTAGTAGGTTATTGTAATAGTTCAGAAGAGATGATGCAGGCCAGATTTAGAGCCGCGACATTAGACTGGAAAGGAAAGGTTAGGTGTACAAGGCCTTACAGGGGTACACGGGGAGGATGTGGAGACTAATTAATGGATAGAAAGAGTGGATAAGAAGTCCAGATGAACCATTTAATCAGTTGTTGCTGAAGTCATTAGATGAAATAAAAAATATTAGAGGAAGCGCAGATATGTAGGGTAGCAGTGTTGAGTTTGATTTTAAAATGTTAGATTTTGAGGTGTGGCTATGTCCTGTAGGCCATTGTACCTGTGGGATTCTGGCTTAGGATGAGTCAGAGAAAATATACTGTGTTATTCCCACAATCGTATTTGCTTCATGTGATCCTACCATATGTAAAATGCCATGTTTTGAATTTTGTACAAGACAGAACATACATTTTTCAGCCTGTAGAAACTCAACACTTCGCAAAACTTTTTCTGGATACATATATAAAAACCAAATACATATAGCACATACAATGATAAACAAGATTTCTAAAAGACTATTATGCCCACCTAAAAACACTGACCATACAGGTGTACATTCATCACCTGTCAAAACTGTTTTGTCAACTCACACTATTCAATCCTTCCAATACATTTAATAAAGTCATATAATTGTGAATGGCAATAAAGAAAGAAAGCCTTTAGAAGTATCGTATATATACATTATATTAAATTTTTATAAAATTTATTAAGAAACCTATATTAATTATGTCCAACCTATTTTATGCAGTTGGCCACATTTTTTTCATTTTTATATGTATTATATATATATATATTATATATTATATATATAATATATATATGGCTGACCTAATTTGCATAACTGATGTAGCCCATCCAAACAATACTAGCAAATCCTCATAGTGCTCACTACTGTTACTAACTCATTTAATCCTCCCAACAATCTATAATGTAGAGACTCTTTAGTCTCCTATTCTTTGGATGAGTTAATGGAGGCAAAAATATATGACATAATGCCCAGCTGGTAGGTGGTAGAGTCGAAATTCCAACCCTAGAAGTCTGACTCCAGAGGCTGTGCTTTTTTCATTTGTTTGCTTGTTTCAGGTATACAAAACAATGTAATAAGGCTGTGCTCTTAAGTCCCTCACTAAGCTGCCTAAAAGTGGACAGAGTTCAAACAGAACTCAAGTGGCCAGAGGAGGGAGAATGGAGTCACTGCCTACCTAGCATGGGAAGCAATTTCTCGCAATAGCATTGAGAATATTAATCTTTCTTGCCAATTGGTAGCTGACAGGCACAGAAAGAATGATAATTACCCTGGCAGGAAGGCCTCTTCAAGCTAGGGATTCTTCAATCACAATTAAGAGTACATGGATATTAGATTATCACTCTATTTGCTGAGGGAGTTTTCTGGTTAATTGCTGTTTACTAAGAGATCATTAGAGACCAGATTACTAAAACACTATCATACCCACCTAAAATCTTGACCATCCAGGTGTGTTTTCACCCAACATGTACAAATAAATGCAATAATAGTAAAAATGTATTCTGAAAAAGGATTGAGGAACTGAACAACCACCTTTATCATTCATCAAACAGTACCTATTTTAAGACAACAATCTACATATCACAAGAATGATCCGATCTACCTCCTTCAGTTTCATAATCATATGAAATTTAAGTATGCTTCATTTACCAAATTTTATTTTGTAGAAGCTAATTTTGCTTTCTATTAGATTTTCCATAAGTATGAAAAATATTGTATTTTATTTGTAAGGTTTCTGACAATTGTCATGTCAAATCGTTTCCAAGTAATTAAAATGTTTTGATATTTTGTTTTCCTTTATACTAGTGGCCCCCCTTCTGCTGTTTACCTGTGACTGTGGGACTGGTCCTAAAGGGGGAGCGACAGGTGGATTTATCCCAGTTCCTGATGGTTCAGAAGGAACGATTCATCCGTGGGGAATCGAAGGAGCCCAACCTGAAGACCATGTGAGGATCCAGTTTGTAAAACATTTATTTCAATTATATAGAGCAAAAATCTGTTTATATTCAGATAGGAACGGGGATAATGGGGCATAAAAATAAGAGACTCCTTGACCTTCAAGGACCCTTGTGATTTAGTGTTGAAATAAAGGGAGCCTTTTAAGATCTTAGTTCTTCAGATGTCAAATTATAAAAATGGTTACTCCATGAAATCTGGTTCATTTTTTAATGTATTTATTTTTTTAACATGGTTTGTAGGAAATCACAAATATCTGTGTGCCATTTATACCTTCCAATGGAGCTGATTTCGTAGAAAGTTCTGGTAAGTGAACATCTAATTTATTTTTTAAAGCAACAGTGGGTTAAAGTTTTTCAAGAAATGTTGAAAAATAAAAAGTGTTCTAAATTAGGGTTTCAATGAAATGGTTTATTATTAGTATACTTGTATTAGTTAATCCCCTGACCTAGCTCTGGCTTCCGTACGTTTATTTGCCCACTGATGCCACCGTTTTTAAAATCTGAAGGTTTGTTATACTTGTTTCAAGCTTTAATAAACTGAAGTTTAGCTCTCAGACAATTACTAAGTTTTAATTAGAAAAGATTTCGCACATATGAGTATAGAAAAATGTAAAGGGAAATATAACAAACACTGTGTACCCACCATCCAACCTTGACTATTCTTAACACTGGTAATATTTGCAGTTAAAGCTTCATGTGTGCATCTCCTGGGTCTTGTTGTCCTTCTTCCTTCCCCAGAACTAACAATACCCTGATGTGAGTTCATTTATCAATTCTTATTGCAATCGTAATGGGACAAGGTCCCTTATACTGTCATTTGGTGAAATTATTTATTTCTTTGGCAAACCAAATGACTATTTTATTCATAGCATCTTAGTGCCACAACTAAGGCATAAACTAGAGGAACAATAAGACCTAATGCCTAATATTAAAATTTTTCTTAATTCCATACTTAGCAATAGATTGTGTTTAAATATCCAGCCTGCATAATCTGCCCAAGATGTCCCCAAAAAAGTAACTATCTGACTTTATTAGCAACCTCAATTCTCCCCTGCTTCTCTCATTATAATTACATAGCAAAACTATAGTCAGGATTCTCTAAAAAGAAAAAATAACTTTCCATAAAAGTGTAATGTAAAGGTAACAGGCAGAATAGTCATAACTCATTCAATTTTCATTAGGCACCAAGACACCAAATTAGCATCTGCTAATTTGCATGATTACATTATATATATTTTCTCTTTGGTTTTCATATTGAACCAGTATGACAGCTTAATTACAATTTCTTTTTTTCCTGAAAACAAACAGGCATTGTATTAGAAGCTTTCCGTGGCTCTGCTGAATATCCTGTTTTTACTTCTCCGTTTCTGGCTGTTGTCACTGAAAATCCATTTCTTTTGTATATTTCTTAATTAGTATGTTTCCAGAGCTCTCATCTTCTAATGTCTCCCATTACACCCTCACCTTCTTTGTTACTCCCACAGAACAGACTGGGATGGTCTTATCACCTCTAGTCATATAATTGTGTTTTCTCCCATTTATTTGCTTTACTTGGTCACTGCTCATGGATATCAAAGAACAATAAAATAATAAATTTTTTTTTAAAATCACAGTATGAGATGTTACAGAATTTTCTCCCCTGTTTTTAGGAGTTTGTACAAATACATGTTCCCGAGGAATGGTGGTGGAAGGGGCTTCAGAAACAGAGCTGACCACCAAGCTTGGCGCAGCGGCAGGAGCTGGAGCTGCCGCGGGATTTGGAGCAAGCACTGGACTTGGCTTCTGTTCTGCAGGACAGTCTGGAACATTGAGAATAGGGCATTCCACTGGAGGAGCCCATAAGGACTATAGCGAAGGGGCAGTAAACATGAACTTCTTGGACTCCTACTTTTCTCAGGTAATTGGCGGAAAACTTTGTTACTTTGGTATCTTATTGACCTTGGAGATCTTTTTATTTACTTGACTACATTTCAGTTTTGCAGTTCACTTTTTTACAGCTCGTTAAAACTGAAGGAAAAAATAGGGGCCCTTTGCCAAAATAATACAGATCACCTAAGATGGGTACCAAAACTGGGCTACTGGTCAAAAAGCAAGAACGAATGGGTACATAGAAACAAAATGAGAGACTACAGCCAGTGGCACCCCATCCCCCCAACTGGAATAACGACAGACAGCAAACCCTTGTGCATTTCGGGATCAGCAGCACCCACTTTAGGAATACAAAGCGGCATAGTTGTATTTCTTATACCATAAAGGATGTCGCTACACATGTGCATAGAGTTTTCTGAGACAGGGTTATATTATTCCTCACATTTCCAAAGGAGTCCATGTCCAAAAACGTTGAGGAAACGTTGAATCAATGACCCAAAAGTAAAAGGGGGAAGGGTTGTGATCGAAGATCAGTTGAAGTGACAAGGGTGCAAGAAACAGAGAGGACTTTGGGATGCAGGCTGCTTGCCTCCTGGTTGGTGCGTCGTTATAACAGATCTCACTTAAAGTTTTGGTACCAGGATTGTTAAGTGCCGGGATCTGGCCCTTGTACGAGCAGATGAAGGTTGACACTGTGTTTGAAGAACAATTGGCAGGGAGAGCTCGTTTGGGATGAGGATTCTTGGGGTATTCCGAGGTGGTATGGGCCCCAGTAATGGGTCAGGCTCCCACAAGAGTTATCGAGTCTAGGCAGAGTCTGGGTGAAAGCCGTGTCAGGCAGTGCACAGTGGGGTGGCTGCCCTCACCTCTAAACACAAGGACATACATTAACGCAATCACACACAGGGACCCTCATAGTCAGAGCGAACAGTAGCCTCCAGGCTTCGTACATATTTGTTCTGTAGGCCTAAATCCATGGAAGTGCCTTCAAAATCAAGAATGAAAACATGAGCCTAGGCCAGACTCAATTTTGAGGGAGTATCAACTACACTATTGTCCAAACACCAGACAGTTTCTGTAACATGATTGTTGATATGAAGAGTATGCCTTTATGTCTATGGATTGCCTAAATTATGCATTCATGATCAAACATTGAGTTCTACGAACGGTATTATATTCTTCAATTGAGTCTCTTTTAAAGTTCATTTTTCTCTACTTTTCTCTGCCTTTAGAAAGCATTTGCCTGTGCAGAGGACGACGATGGCCAGGAAGCAAATGACTGCTTGCTGATCTATGACAGTGAAGGATTGGATGCCCCTGGTTCTCCAGTGGGCTCCCTGGGTTGTTGCAGTTTTATTGCCGATGAGCTGGATGAGAGCTTCTTGGAGTCGCTTGGCCCCAAATTTAAAAAACTTGCAGAGATAAGCCTCGAGTTTGATGACAAAATTAAACAATCGCAGCCACCCACCAAAAACAGCGGTTCTGGGATTGAATCCTGTGGCCATGCCGTAGAAATCCAGCAGTCAGAATCGGCCAGGTGCCAGACTTCCTCAGGCAGTCAAGGAGCTTCCGCTTTGTCTGCTTCCTGCTCTGTCCTCCAACCAGCCATTTGCATCCCCGACCCTTTGCAGCAGAGTAGCTATTTGGTAAAGGAGACTTACTCAGCTTCCGGTTCCCTAGTGCAACCTTCCGCTGCAGTCTTTGATCCACTTCTCACACAAAATGTAATTGTGACAGAAAGAGTGATTTGTCCCATTTCCAATGGTCCTGGCAACCTACATGGTCCGACGGAGCTACGAGGGTCTTGTAATAGGATCTATGTAGAAGATCCTTGTTCCCGTCTGATATAACCAGAATGGAATTCCATACTGGCCAAATATGGAGATTTGGGCCAAATTATCCATAACAGCATAGCAAATCACAGTATTGGTCTAATTTGGCACATACTTGCTATTTTCATAAACTGATCATGACAGCTGAAATTGTCTAGTACATACCCCCAAAGTGGATATGTTGTCACTCTTAATTCTCCAATACTAGTCAAGTTGGAGTCAATTATAATGTTTTTCAAACTATCTTACCACATTCAGTAGGAAAATTTCCTAACAATTTTTAAACTTTCATTTTTGCAGTGCCATGTGTATCAATTTAAAATGTAATGTACTTTTAGTAGGTTAAGCCCTTGGAGTCAAGAGCCCCAATTCTTGTCTGTCACCTCTTCTTACATCATTAGTAATGACATAAGAGTCATAAGGTCTTTGCTAAAGCGTTTTGAGCTGCTTGGAATAAAGGAACTAGTCACAGATGAGTTTTTTCCATCTTATTGGTGCTGGGAGACCCTAAGTGCATCTTTTGCTCAAGCTAAGGGCTACTGGTTTATGCATAAACTTGCTGCATCTATATTCCTCATATTTTCGCAATAAGACAATTTTAAAATAGAAATATAGAACATTTAGAAAAGTTTAGTATAGTGTAAATAATATTTTGTGTTTCTTTAATCTCCTTGAAATGATCTATCCAAAGAAAATATTTTACACTGAACTCCTTCCTACACACTGCTCAGTAACAAATCCTGTGTTAATAGTTAAAAATGCTCCTTATTTTTGAAATGTCAGTGGATAGATGCAACTTAAATATGACATGTAGTGATGTTTACTCATGTTAACAATGTCTATAGATTTTGCGGGAATACAAACCATGGCTTTTCTCATAAGCAAAAGGGGCTTCTGACTAGAATAGCACAGGTGAAATTTGTGAATATGTATTATAAACAGCATTTCAGGTCAAATAGAATATGGAAAGGGATTACCAGTAACCTCTATTTTTTAAGCCTCGGTCCTTTTAAATTTAAACAGCTACAGTAATTTAATTATTGAATGTAACAATGTTAGCTCGTGAAGGTTTAGAATATATTAATATTATTTCATGCATGTTTCCGTGATGGTAATGCAGTTCTTCAAATCATTTCTAGTCATTCAAGATCTTCAGCCTTTAACCCATAGAGAGCATGCTCCCTCCTTATGGACATTAGTGTCTTAGCTGAGTCATTACAAGGTCATTGTCCAGCTCCATTATCTCTAATTGTATATAAAATTGTATATATCTGTGGAGGAAGACAGCCCCTAAATGTCCTTACATCTAGCATGCTTCCCTCCCCCAGATGCCATGACTACAGGAAGGCATGTGCTAGGATGGCCTGAGAAGCGCGGGCAGCCTGTTCTTCCAAGACAAGGCTGCTGCTGCAACAAGGCCTGCAGTGCTTGTCTTGCGGTGAGGGGAACTCGACCCTATGGAGCAGCCTGAGGAAGTCCCGTGGCTATTACCACTGCAGCCTCTTCTGTTGCATCTCAATAGGCGCTTTCTCTGGGACCTCGCAGGCAAACAGTTGCTCAGTGCCTCTGTTTATACATGAGAATTAAATTAATAGTCATAATAGCCCTTAGTCCAAGTTCAAAAGTGTACTCAGGATCCTCAAAGTATTGTAACTTTGCCTCTTAAAACCCAGCTTATCAGGAAACGGGAATTTTGCTGCATTGTCAAACGGCAGAGAAAACCATGCCATAGTAGTAAAGGTTCTGTAACTGAAAAAATTGAAATTAAATGCATTTTCAAACAAAAATAGATCACTCTTGTCTAGGAGGACCTTAAATTCATTTGCCATGTAAAATTAAATTCAAAGCAAAAATGTATCTGTATTTTTTCACTCAAAATAAACATTGTTCTAAGCAGAAAAAAAAATTTCTTAACTGTCTTTTTACTTGATGTATCATCAATTTTAAAGTGTATATTAAAATTTTAACAGTGTAACCTTGTTATAATAAAACTGTTTGGCAACAAATTTATGAGTGCTTCCTTAACCATTTAGTAAAAGCTGAACTTAAGATACTCTCCGTAATTAATCTCTATAATTAATACTTATTAATAAGTATGATTGATATAAGAAAGTGACTTACACATATATTTTTATCAGCATGTTGTGTTTTTTCTAGCTGATACCTATGCTGCATCCTCCCAGGCAGGAAGCACCTGGAGATGAAGGATCTCTTGTTCAGGTGGAGATGGGGATGGATGAGGTAAGGGCAAACTTTGACTAACTGAATGCTTTAATTCATTTATTATTTGGATGGTAATTAGAATCGTCTTCAGACAAAAGTTTTGATGTTCTATGGTGACGCTGAGAGAAAAGCTGGTGTAAAGAGAAGGTAAGGTTTCTAGCCTAACATGATAAAAAATTGTACCATGGCTCTGGTGACAGCCATTAGCCACAGCAGTGGGTCTGTTCCCCAGTAAATGCCTGTTATTTTTATGTCTTCCTTTAAAGAGATGACACAAAATAAGTCCCTTCAGCTCTTGCTTCTGACTGACCTTCCTCATTCTTAAATGCAGACTTGGACGTTGGGAATGGAGAACAGACACTGGATTAGAGGGAATGTCAAGTGAAGAACACTGGACGGCTTAAGTCGGATGGTCCAACTCAATTCCAGGGAAACGAAAGCTATGTAGGTAAATTCCAAAAATATCATCAGTTTTCTTCTATTCACAGAAAATTCAAGGAATAAAAATCTTAACTTTCAAAAATTTAGAGAGTAAAAAAACACATTCAACTGACCAAGTTCAATGCAACTAACAATTAAGAAACAAGTAAAAGTGAAGGACCTTCCTTTCTTGTTCTTGGAAATTTAGCATTTAGAGACTCCTTAACTGGGTCTCTAAAGAGTAATTCTGAGTCAGAGATTATGTGACTTAACACTAGTTCAACAACATAGTCTAAGATCATTTTATGTAAGGGGGAATAACGGATCAGAAAACAAGACAATTATTTAAATTCCAGGTGCCAGAAACAACATGTTTTCCATGATGAATACTGAGATTCTTGGTTTGCCATATACAGCCTGCACTGAGTCCTCCATGCCCAGACATCGGCCATTCGAGGCTAATGTCTTTACTTTCTTTTTTTTGCGTACACTGATTTTTTTTTTCAAATGCAAAACAAAAACAACAAAAAAGCTAAACACAGAATAATGGTCTAAAAGAACAAGTGCACACTTACCAGAGCACAAAGAAATGAGACATTGAGGAGGGCTACCAGGTGGCCAGGAGGGTTACATATTCGAATTTAATTCTTAGAGCAACCCTAAGATTATAGTCATGAAAAGAGACTCAGAGAACCAAGGTAACCTCCTCAAAGTCATAGAATAAAGTGACACAAATGTACAAGTTTATCTACAGTTATTCAGCAATAATAATAATTATTATACTCAGAATGATCTGTTTATTTTCTGCTCTATCACTTGAGTAGAACGTGAAAAATTGGAAAGAATACAATGAAAATTATTTTTTTAAAATTAGAAATTTAGATATAATTCTAAAGATTAAAGTAGCAGTACAATGTAGGCAAATATAAAACATATTTTGTTATATTTATATGTATTATGTATATATATACATATATACAGAGAAAGAAAAAGGACAAAGAAATTTATATATCTCTAACACTGAGAGGTAAAGATAGAGAAAGATGTAGAGATAGACAAAAAGAATGCAAACACATGATTTGCTGCTATTTTGAAGTATATGTGAGGTCATTTTTCAGGGCACAATGACCAATTCTCCTCCATATTTAATAACAGAAACAAGCTACCTATAGACATGAAATCTCTTTTTCAGTAAACTCTTTAAGAATTACTTTGATGGCATGCTTTTTAGAAAAGGTATGTGACACGTGTCTAGATTTAAAAAAAAGTTTTTAATTTGATATTTCTATATATTGCAAAATGATCACGAAAATAAGTCCAATTAACATCAGTCACCATACATAGATACCAAAAAATTTTTTTCTTGTGATGAAGACTTTTAAGATCTACTCTCTTAGCAACTTTCAAATATGTACTTCAGTATATTAACTACGGTGACCATGCTATACATACTACACATGTAATATATAGTATGGTCACCATAGTATGGTCCCTTGGACTTTAAATTATAACTAGAAGTTTGTGCGTTTTGACTCCTTGCACCCATTTCTCCCCCCACTCTACCCCACCCCCTCACCTCTGGCAACCACCAATTTGTTCTCTGTATTGATGAGTTTGGTTTTTGTTTTGTTTTGTTTTTTAAAAATAATAACTTCAAATGGGTCCTTCCATTTTACTGTTTCTGTGATTTGCAGAAAAACACACATTTTAACAACTATAATAACTATTTTACTCCTTAAAGCCATCTGTATTCTTCCTTTGTTCCTATGAAATACATGGGACCATTGTATTTTTAATTTTATGCCTCAGAACATCTCTGACGTTTTCTATGTGCTGAATTTATCATTATTAAATTTGCAAACATGAAATTTTGTGTACAAACAAAGACCATCAATTCACGAAACTGGATACATAAAACATACGCGATACATAAAACATTGATATTAAAAGAATATGAATATCCTCATTTCCTCAGAAGGCAGAGGAAGTATTTATATTGTTTATAATCAAGAGAGGATTGCAAAGAACTTTCTTGATCACAAAGTAGCGCAGTAGCAGGTAATCTTGTATTTATTTAAATGGCATAATGACATGGTTTTACTAAGCCAAAAATGAGTACGTAAACACAAAATGTGAGATAAACTTTAGTCATGTCTTCCCATATCCAACTGACTAGTACTGATAATAAGATTTATATGGTCCTAACAAGGACGTAAAACACATGCAAACACACACACATGCACACACGTGCATATACATGCACACATATTTGCCTCAGGTAACCACATAGTTTGGCGGAGCTCAAGCAGTGTCTTTCCATCATCAAACACATGGACCAGACACTAACACTTAGTTTCTGCATGCAAGAAGTCTGCTGTCTAGATTATTGAAAAGAAAAGAATCATCTAAATTTTTCACTTAACTTTCTTTAGGTAGAGCAAAATGAAGAGGCCTTGTTTGGCCTAACTTTTAATTATTCTCATCCAGGGCTGACATCCACAACTTCTGATTAGTTAAAAAATGTGTAATAGGAAATAGAGGTATTAGTCAAAGGGTACAAAGTTTCAGTTACACAAGATGAGTAAGTCCTAGAGATCTACTGTAGAGCATAGAGCCTATAGTTAATAATACTGTATTGTATACTTAAAATTTTGCTAAGAGGGTACATTTTATGTTAAGTGTTCTTGTCACAAAGAATAATAATAATAATAATAA